TCAGGAGCAGAGGCATCCATGTTGCACAATTCCACAGTGAAGGGCACCAAATGTTGCTCCATTACTGCTAGTCTGCGTTCAGTCGTAGTAACCTGATGCATATTCCCTTTCTGCACTTTGCATGTACTTCATTGCACTATGTAAGAGCTCCATCTTACTGAGTGAGCTGGACACATATATGTTGCTGAGTGTGGCAGCTCATCCAGGAAGTGGGAAACAAAGTGCAGTATCTTCCATACAATAATTCAAAACTTTAAAAAAAGGTTTTACTGGTGTTTAAATATGTTTGATGCAGGCAGATATGTAGTTTTGATTTTGACCACAAGAAAATTGGGAAACCTCTACAATACTATGTCCGTCAGGTGCATTTTTAGCTCTTCAATTTTCTTGGAGGATGATTTTTTTTTTTTTACATACCCTTTATGCATCTGTGTGTAATGGCTCTTGATCCTCTGACGGCAGCTGCTATCCATGCCTCAGGATTCTCCTCCAAACTCTTGATTCTTTTTCTTCACAATCCTCCCCAGACCAGTTATCCCTGTTGTGTATGTTTCTCCTTCTACCACGTTTTACTTCTCTCAGTCATTCTTGAAAACACTTGGATGCAGCAGTCTTTAGTAGTGTCCTTTTGTGGCTTATCCTTCTAGTAAATGGTGTCGCTGACTGTCTGCTGGACAACTATCAAGTTAGCAGTCATCCCCATTGCGTAAGCCAAAATCATAAAAATTACATAAAAAGGCTTAGACTTGTTGACTCTATATGTGACGAATTTAAAGAAAGCAAAACTTTAATGTTTTAAAATAAGTGACAAAGAATATTTTACATTTTTAGATTTTTTTTATGTAGCTGTATTTAGTTTTACCCCCTGCTGACAGATGATTAAGCATGCCTCTGCAGTGTGTCCGATCAAACAGGCCTTTTTTGCTTGTCCATATATGGTATTTCAGTCGACTCTTCTTTTTTGTTTTGTGTGCATAGCTGTGAGCTTGTGTGTGAGCCTGAGCGGGTGGGAGTGCTGTTGGATCATCCTCCTAAAGTGGCGCTAAAGAAAGATGTGGATTGGCCCAGGCTTTATTCCCCTCACTCTAAGAGATCTAAGAAAAAAAAAAGCACAGTGGAGGAAGGGAGTAGATGAAAATAGCTCAGTAGGCAACCGCTGACTCACAAGGCAGAGCTGGGAGTCAGGATGACATCTTTTCCAATATTCATCAGAAATCAGCTTGTGTAACTACCTCTGTGTCCATAAACCGTCAGATCTCAGTGCCCCTCGCCACTTCCTGCATGAATCTGGTGCACATTTCTCATCCATAGCCGTATTAAAACAGGGAGGTGAAACCACAGGTGTTATTTATTTCTTTTGAGAGCAGTGCCCAGAGGCATTAGGGCATCAGGATTGTTAGCTGCAATGTAGCGTGATTGGCTAAGCAGCCTGCCCATTCATCATGCCATGATTGCATGGGGAATTTAGGCTGTCCCATGTTTGTGTTTTTTTAAATATGAAATGGAACAAGAAAATGAAGTGAACACATATTTTGATTAGTCTGATTAAAAGGAGGAGTGTTTGCCTAGTGGTTAGAGCAGTGCGCTTGTGCTCTGAGAAGGTTCGAAGTATCTGGTTCGATCCCCATAGCCTCCACTCTGGGTTCCTGAGCAAACCCTTAACCCCACACCTGCACCACACAATGGCAGCCCACTGCTTCCCAAGGGAATGGATCAAATGCAGAGAGTGAATTTCCCCATTGTGGGACAATAAAGGGATTTACATAAAAAAAAAAAAAGAACCATGTTAAGTTTAAGTAATGGTTACATACAAAACCTTACCAAAAAGTAGTGCATGCAAGATACAGTAAATATACTAATTTTAAACTAAAAATAAGCATGTCTACTTTCAGTTTCTTTGTAGCGTACTTATCTATGATATCCATTACAGTTTATGTTAACTATAGATGACTTACATTAAAAGTATAATAAAAGTATATCTAAGTATCCTTACCAAAACTAGGTCAACTGCAAGTTCAATTTTTAAATATATTGTTGTATATTACATTGTGTATTCAAGTATACAGTAGTATAAATCCCAAGTTTTCAATTAAAGTAAACTTGAAGCTTACTAAAAAAATATATACCTTACACACATTGTAACATTCAAGACAGCTTGTAGTGTACCTGCATCAATGTAACCTTGAGTATACGTAAAAAGCACATGAACTTGAAAAATACTCTGTTTTTGTAAGGGTTATTCAACCAAAACTGAAACTATTGTAGGTAATGCAAACAGGTTAGACCTTTAAATTGGAAACGGTTTCATTCACCTCAGTATTTGGCATTTAATAAAAAAGAAGTTTAAAAGCCAAAAATGTCATCACACCCACATTGCGCTGGCATTGCTTCAGGTAACATATTGGTAAGTTATTCTGGCTGCTATGTGCTTATAAATATAAGTAGTCAGAAAAACCTGCTGTTTCCTCAAAGTGGGTTATTTAGCTTAATAGTAAAAACAGAGATTCATGTTTGTCTGTAAGGGGAGCTGTGTGCACAGATGCAGATAACAAGCCTTCCACCCATCTCCTCCCACTTCATCTATCAGGGTGGATGAAGTGGGAGGAGCATTTGGCACGGTGGGGGTGACGCTAGCAGTCCAGTAGTCAATGAGTGAAAGGTGGGGTAAACCCTGGAAAGGGTTTCTAATCCAGCACAGGGTATCATCCAATTCTGAATACTGCAACATGCCTGTAGCATGACAGGATCAGCATGTGTTCAGTAAGGGTTAAGTAAGGGTATCTCAAAAAAGCAATATCAGGCTTTAGAGGTTGTGCAGCTGACTCAGTGTGATCAGTAAAAAGCATAGTTTGTTACATTTGTGTTTATAATTTGTTCTGAGTAACCATAGAGGTTCAAACAGTGAGCCGTGTGAAATGGATTATAGTGATGCACAGATCTCTGTAAACACACAAAGCAAAAAACATCCTCACTTTCAGACTTTTCTGACAATCTGTTGGATAGAACAGAATAGAAATATATTTATTTGCCACGCAGTGGGGAATTTCAGCAGTTTCAACAGCATGCCAAATAGGCAAATGCCTAACTGCATACAGGTACACAAGACTAAAGGGACTATAAAAAAAAAAAAATAAATAAAAAAAATCATAAACTACAAAAGAATGCACAGCAAAGGAAATACCCACATGCCAGAAAATAAACATTATGAGTTATTAGAATGTCATACTCCGCTCAAATAAAACAAAAAAAGATAAAAAGTTAGCTTAGCACCATGGGCCGGATTTATCAAGATCCAATTTTGCGTGCAGTAATTTGCGCTCGCAAACTGGAATTTTGCGCGAGGGGCTGAACCATGGTTTGCGGGTGATTTAACAAGAGTGATTGCGTAACTGGTGGAAGGTGCAAAACTGTTGGAGACGCCCTATTTAAATGATGGTTTTGCGCGTTTTGTGGTTTGCGGCAAAGTAGTTTGTAGTCTGTACAAACTACTAGTGCATTAAGAAATTTTAATCTTACAGTGACCCCCAAAAAAAAAAAAAAAAAAAAAAAAACGGACGGACAGCGGACAGCACTTCTGAAAAACGAGATTGGGAGATCCCAGCTCTCGCTGTAACCGTACGCTGGAATGACCCGAATGCAAAAAAGTGCAATGTTGCAAGGAATTTTGTGATATCTGGTATTGCGTGGGTCCTCCTTGTGGCTGGCTCCAAATCCATTCGGAGTTCCCCCAACAGCTCCAAAATGGCAATGCTGGATAAACGATATGTTTTGATGATCGTTTCCTCGTTCATTCCAAAAATATTTACACGGTGTGAAACAATGCGTTCTCTGCGTCTCCTTGCTTCATTTCGATGTCTCCTTCTTGCGACAATAACCGCTGCCATGTGTGCGCAATTACGCATACAGACCATTTGCACCTTATTTTGAAACACGCTAAATATAGAGTCAGATAGCGTTAGCAAAATTGCTTTCAGGTTTGATAAATCTCTTTGCGAGTGCTAAATTAATATATTTACATGCTCTCCTCCCACAAGACGCGCTTTTGCGTGTAAACGCCCCATATTGCATATTCATTGCAGAAAAAGTACTAAATGGATAAGAGGCGCTATTTAGCACGTTTAAAAGATCAAATCCTTTTAGCACGCTGTTGATAGATCAGTTTGTACATTTTTTAGCGTGCGCAGTGAAATAGCTCACGTTTTTATACACGCAAACCTTTGATAGATCCGGCCCCATGTATTTAAAAACACGTATAGGGCAGATACAGTGTGTGATATTAGACTGACACTCTGGGTCCCTGAGCAAAGACCCTTAACCCCACGCTGCTCCCCGGGTGCCGCACAATAGCAGCCCACTGCTCCCCAAGGGGATGGTTTAAATTCAGAGAATGAATTTCATTGCTCTGTACTTGTCAATGTAAGGATATGTAATGTGTAATGACAATAAAAAAAGCTGGAAGAACAACGATTCACATATAGAAACTGACCTATAAACACTCATTACGCCGGGTTCACCCTGACTTTAGTTCGTCTGCAGTCCTGATCTATTGTGGGCTTGTTACAAACAGCCACTCAGGAGCTGCAGCGAGTCCAAACCAGCTACAACTGGCTGCAAGCGTAGAAAAGATCTTCATCAGGGTTTTTCACTCTTTCCAGGAGTTCTAATCAAAACTTGCCACCCATATGCATGAAAATAATATTTTTATCCTCTAATAGCCATTTGCTCCCTTTTGTTTTGTTTTATTTATACTAGACCAGTTAGCAATAATTTGGTGGGTGAATTTCATTAAATTTTCTTTTTTTTTTTTTTCAGTTGGAACATTTTACTGTGTGAGCATCAAATGATTTAGTTCACTTTTTATTTTTTCTGCGGAGCAGATTGGTGCTTTCAGGATATGTAGCCTGGCAGCACTATTTAAGTCTGGTTTTTGGAGGTTTTGTGAAGTATAAAAAAAGGTCTGATGTTTAAATAATTTATATCCCAAAATGGTTTGCTTTCAGGTTGAGGCTCAGAGCTATGCAGTCTCTTTTCGGAGGAGGGGAGCTGGGGCTGCTGGGAGGAGGAGGCGGCGACGCAGGAGGCCTAAAGGAGGATGGCTGCGGCACCATGGCGTGGAGGACCTCGCCTCTTCCGACTGACGATGTGTACTCTGCTTCCCACTTCACACTCATCTCCGCCTATCAGGAAATCAAAACCAGACTGGCCACCCTGGAGCGAGAAAACACCAGCATCAAGAGGAAGCTGAAGATCTATGAGATCAAGGTGAAGGCATTTTTGAGACAAACATTCATCAGATTATAGAAAAAAAATCAATACAGATTTTGTGTCCTTGTTGATGTCAGATAGAGGCACTCCTGCTTTCTGTTTTTGATTTATTGGAAAGTGCAGAGAGCAGCTCCATTCCTTCTATCTTTATAAAGGTGGGAAAAGTTTCAAAAAAGAAAAATTCCTTTCAAGGTCATCTATTTTAATGAAAAAACATATATACAAGTAATTAACCTTATAATCAAAATGAGAATAATAAGATGTAAGTGTTAAAAAATATATTTTTTTATATATTTCATCATACCTCATAGTGTTAATAGCTAGGTCACCTGCTCTGTTTTTCCTATTAGTCAGTGACATTTAAGAAAACAGAAAAATGAAATGAAGAAAAAAGTGAGAAAAGCTTTTTATCTCTTAAGGTAATGTGATGCAGAATAAATAAAATAGCTAAACTGCAATATTAGCATAAAGGCAAAAGGAGGAGTGATGGATAATTATGTGTAATCTTTCTTTAAAAACATTATTTCTATTTTTTTCACAAATTCAATCTGAGCTCTGCTAGTGAATTTTTCATAGAAAAATCTGCTTTAGAGTTTATGAAGGTATTATTAGCTATTCATCCATCCATCCATCCATCCATCCATCCATCCATCCATCCATCCATCCATCCATCCATCCATCCATCCATCCATCCATCCATCCATCCATCCATCCATCAATCCATCCAGCCATCCATCCATCCATCCATCCATCCATCCATCCATCCATCCATCCATCGATACATCCCAAATATTATATTCTTTAGAGTTAATATTGTTTATTAACCCTGGTTTATAGTATTCTTTCAGCCAATGTACTGAAACTGAGGTGATGGGGAAGTGGAGTCCTCTTTATCATTACAACTAGAAAAAAAAAACCCTGCTGTGGCTTTAAACCTTGGGAGTGACACGACCAAAAAACTAAAGAAATAAAAAAAAAACTCTTGTGGTTTTTAAAATCATAATATCTTATAACCTTGGTAAACCTCAGTACCGATAACTGGCACCTGTTTAATTTGTTCTCATTTCTTTTCTTGAAAAACTTTGAGAGATACCAACAAAAAATACTCTGATCACTTCTGACTAGAAATGATACCCAGTCACTGGAATCTATTACCATTTACCATAAATACTACTTCCTTAAATGCTTAGAAAGATTTTATTTATTATTATTAAAAAGGGCATTGCTAGATAGGTCTGTAATGCCATCTTTAATACCATGTAATCTTTTTACATTGTTTTATTATCTTTTGAGAAAATTTACTATTACAAAAGAAGCTTGAAAATAATTGCTAATCCAAATCTGTTGGTCTTGATTCCATATTTTGTCAATCCCATAGATTTTTAAGCAAGGTATGGACAGTAAGTATAAAATTTACAGAGGACTCAGATTAGGATAAAACTTTCTGTGATTAATCTTTATTTGTATTCTTATAATAGCGTAATAAAGATAAGATAATGTTGTTTTGTATAGCTTTCACTGATATAAAAAAGGAAACAAAGATTACATTCCTGTGCATTAGAAATCTAACAGTCTATTTGTTTCGGTGCAGCTGAAATCTTAGAAAGAATCCTGAACATAGCAGGTAGGGTAAAACTGTGCCAGACGGCAACCTAAATTCAAAAACCAGTAACATCAGCGAGTTTGCAGGTGCAAAAACTTCTACACAAAATGGACAACATCTGCACCTGCTCCACCAAAACCAACACCTGCCTCTCTGGGATTGGTCCCCAAGCAAATAGCCACCTGTGAGTGAGTCAACAGCAGGTTAACAGCTGCTCGCTAAAAGCATCCAGGAGCTCTGACTCTCTCCTCCTTGAAATTTATTTGCTCACACTTGGAATTCACCCTTAAAGCACCAGTTTGAATCTTATTTTTTTTTACTCAATCACATTGTTTTCTTATTTTGGGTTCTAAGAAACACGAATTAGGCTTTAGATTCTGAATACCTGCTTTGTATACGACCACATTTGGGAAAAAAAGGTAGAAGAATCTGAGAACATTTTCTGTGTTCTTGTATAATTCCTGAAATAAGCAAACCACCAAAACCTAATGATTAGTGGAATATCCATGGCTGTGCTTCTATTTTCATGTAATCCCCCTCTGGTTCTAATTTGAACAATTCACCTCCCTCCCACACTTAACATCATCTTTTTTTTATTCTCTTATACTTTTTGTTTTGCGTATTCCAACATAAGCTCTATTTTCTAATTTCTCCTCATTTTCTGTCCTCCCACGTCATTCCTTCATGTTAATTGGCCCAAAAACGTAACCGATTTGATCTTCATGCCAATTCAGCTATAGCTTGAAGGATTCCTGCCCTACCTGCTGTCTGATCAAACAACAAGTCTCATTAGCAAACATGATAGTCAGACTGTAGTCTGAGCCGAGCAGCTCTCCTTATAACCATGAATCCTGCATATTCAAATTGATAAGTGGATGAATAAATATCAACTGCTTGTTTGTGCAAACACGGGATCAACCAATAACATGGTGGAAGCTGCATTTACTACATAAATATGCGTACATTACACTTTTCATGAGCGGAAAAGCACAAAAGGCTTCAGAGAAGCTTGCATACAAAATGACGAAGGGGCGGCTAAAAGCAAAAGGTTTTAATGATGAAATGAAACGTCATAGAATGCAGGTGTATTCATTTAAAATTCTGACAAAACTTAAGTTTCCCTTGGTGAAATATTCAAGGCATTGCAAAGATGGAAGAAACATGTTCCACATCGGTTTCGAAAGATGTTTTTAAAAATGAATCTTTGGTGCACCTAAGGATTTCTGATCAGATTTTTCAGATCACAACAAGAAATATGAAACATTGAGAGGTTGCAGATAGAGGAGGCGATGCCACAAAGGTGTTATAAAAGTGAGGACTGATATCTTAAATGAGATTCATAAATCCAAATTTACTTAGAAGGTTTAGATGTAAGGAATCTGTGGAGGGGAGCTAAAGATTAGGATGATTGAAACAAGGCCTTCCAACCTCATATGAAAGACTTCTCTCTCACTGAAAGAAAACCCCCCAAAAAACCCAATCAAAAATACTAGTAGGGGTGACTAATTTGCTTTGCATGGGAAGCCTGTGCAAACAAAAAACTCCAGAAAGGAAGTGATGTGTCGTCTCTTTGTTGTGTTCAATAAAAGCCTTGCTGCTGTGTTGTGGATTGCATGTTAATATTTTATTATGCAACCATGCTGTTCCAGTGATCCAGGCATGATGAGATAAAAGCATGAATGATCAGTTCAAGTCAATTCTCAGAACAAGATTTGAATGCTTAGAAATGTTCCTCAGTTGAAACAGGCTTCTTGATCTGTTGTCAAGGATGATGAGAGAAAAAATGTTGTGAAGGGCAGTTTTGGTTTTAAAGTTGAATTTTTCTCATACTTGATCCAACGCCTTCCTGATCAGGGTAGTGCTTCAGTCAGTTTGATGAGGAAGTGAAAGATTAGTTGCCAGCTTAATCTTTATGCATAAAAATCACTAGGTATCTGAATCTTAATATGTCCTCCAAGTTATTCACTGCAGTTCGAATGGGTTTTACTAATCAATGAATTCAGCTAAACTTCATCAATAAACCAATCGGCAATCTCTGAATTGGCCAGACCACCCCCTCCCCTGCTATTTCCTATCAGACTGCCTGGGTTAATCAGTGTTGTGCTTGGCACGTTGTCATGATGCGTCTGTGTTTTGTGCTCCAAACTTGGCTGCAGACTTTGCTGCAGGCTTTCCTTTTCCACTCAGAACAGAAAAAGATGTCCCAAAATATAAGCAAATATTAATCACCAAGGAGCGCTGCTGTAATTGGAAATTAGTTCAAATAACTTAATACCTGAAGCAGAAATGACTCAGTATAGTCATTAAAATGTCACTTAAATGTAAAGTTTGGCGTCATTGTCTGTTTTCCTGATACTCCAGATGGTTTGTTAGATAAAATCATCTGTGGGGTCATTGATGGAAAGGTTTTTTTTTTTTTTTTCCTAAGAAAACGCAAGTCAGGCTCTTACAAAAGGAACTTGGCTGTAAATTGAAGGAAAATAACAGACAGCAGGTGGAGGCAGTTGGTGTGAATAAAGCCTGTAAAAAAATAAGAAATACTGAAATAAAAGTAATATTCATAAAAAAAATTATACATTTAAAAGAAAGTAAACCATTTTGTTATGCATGGATGGATGGATGGATGGATGGATGGATGGATGGATGGATGGATGGATGGATGGATGCATGGATGGAGGGATGGATGGACAAAGGCATGCATCGATGTATGGGTGGATGTATGGATAAAGGGATGGATGGATGGATGGATGGATGGATGGAGGGATGCAAGGATGGATAGATGTATGGATGGATGGATGCATGGATGGAGGGATGCATGGATGGAGGGATGGATGGACAAAGGCATGCGTCGATGTATGGGTGGATGTATGGATAAAGGGATGGATGGATGGATGGATGGATGGATGAAGGAATGCTGCCTCTATTTTGTGGCAGACATGTTCTCTCTTCCACATATAAATATGAATCCAGATTTGAGTAAAGAGAATAATTTCCATCGACATACTTGGCCTCAAACAACCCTGATAGAAGAGTAGCTGCAGCAGATAGAAAACTCCAGAGTACAGCAGTTGTTATGATGGATGGGAACACTTCTTGCTGCTTTGAACATGGGCTGAGGCGAAGTTGCTCTCCAGTTCAGAGTTCCTGAATCTCAGTGCTGTCAGAAAACTCTGGCCCTCGGGGCCGACTGCACATGTTTACCCCATTTACGGTTAAACCGAGCAAAGAGAGATGCTCTTCTAAATGGAAAAGGGTTGTTTTCTCCACAAATAGACATTGCATCAGCGAGGCAACGACTTCACACAGAAAATGAAAAGCCCTTATGGTAAGGCACTCTAAATGGAAATGTGTTCATTTAGGTTGAACGACACCGAGTTATATAAGCAGCATGCCTGGATCACAGCTCTCTGCTAACAACCAGTTTGGTTGTGTAGTCGTAAAACCTTTAGATTTTAGACCTACAATTATATTTAATCTGATTCAGCTTTCAAATGTTAATCCAAAGTTGTACTTCCACTCTGAAAGTACAACTGCTGCAAAGTTTATGCACATGATAAACAAATTAGGAGCCATTTAAACCAAATTAGTTATAGACTTTAACACTTCTTCTTTCTGTGTCAGTATATTACCTAAAGAAGTCCATCTAGCGTTAAGTGCCACCAGTCATCCTGGTTATAATCTTATTACATTATGACTAAAGTTTACGTTCACTGACCGTTTTAATTAGATTGTAGATGTCTGTGCTCCATGTGGGAAATGTGCACATACATTTAGCCCAGGAGGAATCAGCTATGTTGCTTTTTGCAAATGCAAATTATGAATAATGCAAAATTATTTTCCTCTTTCCTTTAGAAATATTTACTCTGATTCATTCCACCCATGGATTACAGAAGCTTTTAACATCTCAGTTAGTTTCAGTTGTGGCTCTTCTGAATGGAAAAGATAATTTTAAACTATTTTCTGTCACCTTTATTATTTCATATTTTTCTATAATGATTTAGATTAATTTACACTAATCGGGCATAGTATAATGACCACCGACAGCTGAACCAAGAATAAATAATCAAGTTGAAAACATTGAGCAAGTTGACAGGTATTTTTTTTCCGGATGACTTGCTCCAGAACTGAAGCTCCTGTTGCAGCAGGAGTCTCGATTAATAAATGCTGTACGGTATATGTTGCACTGACCTACTTGCAGTTTTGCATAGCTGGAAGTTTGAGCTCGCAGAAGCTCTCCATCCAATCTGACAAAGAAAATTAAAGATGGTGAAATATTTAGTCAGTAGATGTGAAAACTACGGAAGAGGATTAGGGCCACTGGGGAAAAAAAAAAAAAAGTTAATTAAATATTATTTCAGTTTAATATGGGAAAGAAGTCAGAATTCTGACTTTTATCTCAGAATTCTGATTTTTTTTTTCTCAGAATTCTGACTTTTTCTCAGAATTGTGGATCTTAATGTAGAAGGGCACCATGAAAGAAGAGATGTGGGAGCACTCAGCTTCACTGACAAAGATGTGAGTTGTTTGGGAGGGCCAGTAACATATTGGTAGAAAATGACAGAATTAGGCAACTTTTTACGTGCCCGAGGGGTCCCTGGTGATCCCATTTCATTAATGGAAGAGAAGAAGGTGATTAAAACAAGAGTCAGTTTGTTAGCTGTAAGAATTCAGAGATTAAAGCGAGAATTCTGAGAAAAAAAGTCAGAATTCTGACTTTTTTCTTATATTATGCTGAAATAAAATTAAAGAATCAGTTAACTTTTTTATTTTTTCAGGGGCCCTAATCCTCTTCTGTAAAAACTGATAGAGATTAATCCTAAAAGTCACTCACCAAAGAGTTGATATGGATGGGACTGACTGCATCAGTTTGCTGCACTTTTTAATTTATTTGATATATAGATATAATTTAATCCTACACTTTTGTGTACCGGTAGGTCTATCACATAAAATCCTAATAGAAAAATGAAGCTTGATAAGACCTAAAGTTGGAAGTGCAATGCTAAAAAAGTAAGTTTGATTAGTTTTATTTAATGTCATATATACAGTCGATACAAGGCTGGTCTTTATAATGTAATAAAATTATTACATCTAGTTTGACAGCTTCTGATAAAAGTTAATTTACTGTCTCAAGGGTTATGAAACTAAATTAAGATAAACAGGAAGAATAAACAGTACAACTTTATCTTTCAAACATTCCTGATTGTTATACCAAGTGACAGCTGAAAATTTGTGATTTTTGCTGCTAATGCCATTTTAATCAGATTTTTTTTCTTCTGTCTGGCCTGTTGTGTTTCCACAGTTCCCCATGATCAGCGAGTTTGGGGAAGACACCAACTCCTACTGCTCATTTGAGAGTAAAGACACGGTGCTGCTGCAGTCAGAAAACGGCAACCTGCACCAGAGAGTCAACGTCCTGACCCATGAGGTACAAACCCCGATCAGAAAGAAAGACACAAAGGAGAAAGAAAATCTAATTTAACACGTATATTTTTCTACCATGGCTAGAATAAACCCTTTATCGCCCTGAAGTGTTATTTATAGGACTCATTCAGAGGAAATCCTTCTTTCTTTAAAAATCTAATTTAATTACATCAAAAATTAGGTCAGTAAATGTCCAGAGCTAATTAGGCTGCAACAAATGGATAGAACCGGATGTGTTTAGGAATCTCTCCAAGAATGAACTACGATGTCGTGTGACGAACTTCACACTGATGTTTTTAGAGCTGTGTTTGATCTTACTTTGCATAACGTGTCTTTGTGAAAGTTAGACTCAAAGCAGCACATGAAGGCAACATATGCACACATGTTTCATATAAGAGCATTTCAGAGTGTTTTTGTTCGGCTCAGCTGTAACCCCACTGCTCTCACAACTGTGTGAACGAGGACACGGGGCAGCGCTAGTGGGTCACACAGGAAGGCCGTGGTGAAACTGGTCGCAGCAGTGGTAACAAAGAGAAAAGCAAAGTATAAGAGCGTAGGAAACTACTAGCATGAGACGTCGTGGGTCATAGGGGTGTCTGACACCTGGCATTCAGACTGATGAAATGAAACATGGCAAAAGGAGTGTGCTCTGTGGGAACCAAACCGAAGCAGCACAGAGAATCTCAATATATAGACGTTATACAGACTATACTGCCTGAAGCAAACATTTCAGCCTGTAGTTCCCAAAGTTAGAAAAACAGGCAAACACTAAAAGTTTTAATTCAATAATTTTGTATAATAATATACTAACATTTTGATATCAGTTTGTTAAAAAAAATTTAATCAAACAGAATATACATTGTCAGGGGTGGTTGGTTTGACAGGACCCCGATGCAGACGCTTAGGGGTCTGCATATTGATTTCTTGAACATTAATGACAAAAAGGGTAACAGAAGCAAAAATCCCAAAACATAAATCCACAAAAACTGAGAACCAGAAATACTCAAAACATGGGAGCAAAGAAATTACGACAAACCAGCAAAGAGTGACTGAACAGGAGAATATATGGGAGAGAGAAACAAAGAGCAGGCTAATTAGCAAATTGGGAGCAGGTGTGAACAAAGGATGCAAGAAGGGAGCTAGGGAAAAGGAGAGTGACACAAGAGGGCAAACAAGAAATATCTAAGAACTCAAATACAAGAAAAAAATAACTACAACAAAATGATAACAAGGTATTAAAAAATAATAAGGTATTAAATAATAAATGGCACATTTTATTATTTAACATAAAGTTTATTATTTGGACATTCAATGCACACGGGATATAGTAATGTGTTTAATTGCATCCCTTTTGGACTGGCATAATGTAAACCTCTGAACTCATGTCAATCTGATTCTGACAATCAACTGACGATTTCCCAGAAGTCTCAGCCCCCTCTTTGCTAACTGCATTCACACGCATACAAACTTGTGTGACTTTTTAAAATCCGTCTGTATTGTTTTATATGATGTTTGTCTCCCCTTTTACTTTCCACAAGATTTAGGACTGCATGTATGGTCATTTCTGACTGGTTGCAGTTTTAAGCCAAGCACTGATATAGGATGCGAAGGCCTGGCTTGTGGTCGATGTTTTCATTCAGAGGCGTACTAGCGGGTTGATGTCAGATCTCTGTGTTGACCAGTCAGTTCTTATACAGGAAACTACCTCATACATGTCTTTTTCTGCACCTTTGATTTGTTTATAGGTGTTCAGCCAAAATCTAAAATGTGCATGCATTCTTAAGTGTTAGGAGTTTCTTTTTGGCAACTAAGGGGCAAAACCACACTACTAAAATAGCCCCAAACTGCAGTGGCTTTTACATCTGATAAAGTCAGGCAAGATTATTTCAATTTTTAAACTCATCTCCTCTGCTCTAGAGTACAGTTGGAGGGAGACATTTGGTGAATTTTAACATTAGTCTAGGTTTACGCAGCAGGCAAATGTTGCTCAAATTGTATTTTTTTTTTTTTTTTTTTGTCGGTATCTGTGTTTTATCGCCATCTGAACATCACAATTCCAATATTTTGACCTAATAAAATCCCTCTTCCATAATGGCACTAGATCTGAAATGTAATCAATTGTTCCCACAGTCAGAACTGTCACATTTCATCAGTACAAATCCAAACAAACAACCCTGTAGCAGAAACAGTCATATTTCCACTGAAGGCCATTTTTGATAGCCATGCTCTCTTTATATTTTAACTTTCTTCATTTTGCCTCGATGTTGTCATGACATTGTTTGCTCCCATTGCTTAACAGCTGGTTACAACACAGATACGGCAGCATCTATTATTAGTTCCATAAAAAGTGCACTGCTGTGTGATGTCTACATTCTCCTTCTGCTCATGCTGGGTGCTTTGGGGTCATGAACCCTTCAGACTGCAATCTGATGATGTTTTCCTATTAAATATTAATATGAATGACCATGTGCAAAAAAATCATATTCAAGCAAAAAAAAAAAGAAAAAAAAAAAAGGAATTTTTCCTTTAAAACTGCTGCGTGAACGTAGCCTTAAACTCCTTTATATGCCGTATTTTTGCCCAAATGTGTCTTGATAAATATATAAACTAAATACGGCTAAGGCTTACCATGAAATTAAATGAGGGAACATGGTGTCACGTCCACACTGGGGCCAGTTCACCATCAACATGGACTGTGACATTTTGTCAGGTTGGAGGGAGAGTCTGAAAACATGTTTTTTTTTTTTAGTCTTGCCATATTCTCAATTATATTTAGATTGTTTGGAAATCAGAGTAGGCTTTGAACTAAAGCCAAGATAAATGGCAATAAAAACATAAAGTATGTAGAGGTGTCTGAAGTTGTAAATCTACTTAAAAAACTTAAATGAATCAAACATTTTTATTTCCTCCTTGTTTTCAACATGAATACATGACATAAAATGTTTTATTTGTTAGAATAGAAGTTCTGAAGTCACGAATACAAGAATACAAATCAGTACAAATGATAGATTTATTAGTTTAAATCTAAATCCCCTGATGAAGCTTTGGGGGTTGCTGGTTGGTGGTGGTAGTGCAGTGAAAGTTGTTGGTATGCAACCTTTCAACAAGAACCAAAGGAATACAGATTTATTGATTAAACATGAAACTTTGAAATCAGTTGAAAATAACTTTTCAACGTAGATGTATCATAACATTGATGGTTTTATTTTTAGCTTCCTTCTTGTTTAGAACAGGTCGGCGAACAACCACCTGGTGTGTTACCACTACCACTTACTGAGGGGTAAAACAGATTTATCAGGGCTTCTAGATTTGCACTTGTTGAAATTGCGATCCGTACTGGTTGTTTTGCAACATTTTAACTTTCAAATCTGTATTTTTATTTTCTAAACTTGATATCCTACGGACTGATAGTCTAATGTATGTATGCGTTTACAACAAGAAACTATTACAAATCTTTAATTTATTCACATTTTTTACTTATTTACAAGTTCAAACAGCTGTGTATACATTTAAATTACAGCTATCCCATATAAATCATTTGATTGTAGCTCTGGCTATGCGTTTTATGGGAGAAGAATCCCCACCTCAGTCTTCTTCCAGCTCTAACAGGTTTTTTAAATGTCTAACCTGTATTTAGCCTCCTCCAGCTTCTTAATAAGTGTCAAGATTAGGTTGTAATGTGAGGATCCAAATGCAGAGACAGGGAGGCAGAGGTGAGTTTCTTGATGATTTAATGAAGAGTAAACAAACAACTGAAGTTGGAATCCAAAATTTCAAGAAATCAAAAATGAAAACAAAGTCAAACAGACCAGAAACCATGGAGACGTCAGGGGGGGAAACTACCACAAGGAGGAAGACTCAGAGAGTCGGAGTTGGAGGGAGTAAGACGATGAACCAGCACTGAAGAACTGAACAGAAAGTGTATTTATGGGAGACTGAAAGAAAGAGAGGACTAACGAGGAGATTGGGAACAGGTGTGAACAGAGCAAAACAGGAAAGGACCTAGGGAAAAGGAGAACACAAGAGGGCAGCAGAGGGCAACAAATAAAAACCTGAAAACTGAAAATAACCAGAAAACACAACAAAATAAGAATTAAACCACTAAAACCAGAAAACATAGAGCAAAGTAAATCTGAGGACTCAAAAGAAAACATAACAGAACCAAAACTGTGACATTAAGTGACCAGATTGTATCTACCTGCTGAAGAAATTAATCCCCACAGCATGATGCTTCACCCACCAGGGTTGGTTTGATTGTTAGTTTTCCTTGTTGCGTTATTTTGCATCCAACGAAACTGAACTAGGCGACTTCTGAAGGATATTTTGTAAGATGATTATTTTATTTAGAGCAACTTAAGTAATAATACTTGTATAAGAAACTGAAATCCATGAATCAAGGTGCTTGTAGTTAATCTTTATGGTGTCTTGAGGTGGCATATTACATCCAATTTTTATAAACTAAAGCTGTACCTTTTTAAAGCTTTCCACAAACCATCCATGCACCAGTTTACTACACCCATATAGTGCAGACGTGGACAAAATTGTTGGTACCCCTTGTTTAATGAAAGAAAATCACATTTGTCACACAAGTAACTTGCATCTGATATAGGAAAACACAGAGCTATTACAGAAAAATTCTATGAAAATAAATAAATGACAAGTCAGACATTTTTTTTATAACCATGATTCAACACAATTATTTAAAAAGATATAAACCCCTGAGACTGGCCTGGACAAAAATGATGGTACCTATATTAAAAACTGTGACCAACAGAACATTAAGATGTGCCTACTAATGAGTATTACAGTTGTCTAAAATCTTTTAATCAGTCTGCGGTTCTTTTATAGGGCTACAGTTAGTCAATGTGCTGTTTGGTGGGATGGTGTGTACCACACTGAACATGGGCCAGAGAAAGGGAAGGAAAGAGTTGCCTCAGGGGATTAGAAATACATTTATTGACAAGCATGTTAAAGGTAAACGCTGATGTTTCTTTGATTTCAGTTGCACACATTATTTAGAAATTTAAGATCCATGGGACTGTAGCCAAACCCCTCTAGATGGAGCAGCAAGAGGAAAATTAATGACAAATCAAAGAGACGATAATACAAATGGTAACAAGAGTCCAGAAAACCTTTTAAAGTGAGTAAAGGGGAACTTTAAGATCCAGGAACATCAGTGTCAGATTGCACCATCCATCATTATTTGAGCCAAAGTGGACTTAATGGTAGAAAACCAAGGAGACATCATTGTTGAAAAAAAAAAAATCATAAAATAGCCAGACTGGAAATTGCCAATCTACATTTTGACGTGCCAAAAAAACTTCTGGGGGAATGTCTCATGGCTAGATGACACAAAATTGACCTTTTTAGCAGAGGCTCTCAGCTCTGTGTTCACAAATGGAAAGGATTACATCCCTACTGTGAAACATGGAGGAGGCTCTGTTATGTTATGGGGTGCTTTGCTTCATCGGTCACAGTGTGTCTTGAATATCTGCAGGGTACAGTGAAATCTCAAGACTACTAAGGGTTTCGAGAGAGAAATTTGCTGCCCAGTGTCAGAAAGCTCAGTTGAAGGTCAACAGGGTAATAACCCAAAACAAACTGCTAAAAAACAACCAAGAAGGGCTAATAGGAAAACAATGAACTATTCTGAAGTGGCTTTCTATGAGACTTGACCTAAATACAATTAAATATCTTTGGAGGAAGCAGAAACAGGCACCTTAGAAAAGACACCCTCAAACCTGAGACAACTGCAGGACTTAGCTCATGAGGAGTGAACCAAACACCTACTGAGAGGAGTAGAAGTTACCCACCCCCCCATCGTCCAAATGTTTTCTTTCCATATGCTTCAGCAAACTCTTTCCCTTGCCTGACTTAAATTTCTCTTATTTCACTTTGTTTTGAAAAATCTCACAGCTCCCAGGTCGACCGGATAAGGTTGTGTCTCACTTTGGTGTACACACAGTAAACAGATTTTAACCACAGAGGCATCAAATGTTCCCCTTTATTATTTCTGGTGACATCAGGGAAGTGCTGTGTAGCACATGCTGACATATTAGAAATTCAGTGTCCTAGTTTCACCTGGTTACAGAACATCTTATGGGACATGTTTGCGGACTCTCTGTGTAGAGCTTTCTCTCCCCCTGTTTCCTTTGTGGGGAATTTTGGAAACTAATAAGATGAAAATATGTGGGTTTGTCTCTCTTTAGCTCCAGAAGAGAAAGGAAAGAGAGGAGCAGCTGGAGGATGTGATCCAGGCCTACGAGAAGATCCACATGGAAAAGAACAACCTCCAGAGGGACCTTGACAAGATGGTCAGTGAGAACACTTACAATGGAGAATCTCAAAGTATTTAATAAAGATTTTAAGCATCAGAGCAACACTTCCCAGCCCATAATGAATGTGGATTTGAGAGTTAGTAAAACAGCAATTGTTTTGCGGGGGCTTAAAAGTAAAGAAAAATACAACCTTTGCAAATGGAGTCTGGGCATATTTTATTTATGAGATTTTAATATTTTTTTAACATGGTGTTATACTGGTACTTTAAGTGGGCTGTTGAGGGAATTGTATTCAACTGTTAAATAAAAAAAAGAAAAACCTGCCAAGTGGGTTATGGTTCTAGTTGAGTCTGTGTGTGTTTGTATGTCTGTATGCAGGAAAGTTATGGAGTTTAATGAATTTTTTTACTAAAGGTGCACCTCAGTCCAAGAAACAATGCATAAAATATTGATGAGGATACGTGTCAGGGTTTGGTTGTGGTTTTTGAGAACCCAAATGCAGAGGCAGCGATGCAGAGGTGAGTTTCTCGAAGATTTAATAGAATGATCACAAACCACTGAGGCAGGAATCCAAAAATCCAAATCCAACTTAAAATGTAACACAAACCAGAGCCATGGAGACATCAGGGGGGAAAAAATCACGAGGAGCCAGGGTTAGAAGAGGAAAAACAAGGTAAGAAGAGGAACCAGCACTGAGGAACTGCATAAGGAGAGTATTTATGGAAGACTGAACAAAGAGAGGACTAACGAGCAGATTAGGATCAGGTGTGAAGAGTGGAGTCTAGAAAGGAGCTAGGGAAAAGGAGACTAACACAAGAGGGCAACAAATTTAGAAACCAAATGTAAAAAAGTTATTAATATATTAAAGGCTGTGGCTGGAAACAATTGGGGGGCAGATAGACAGTCATTATTAAGCATATACAGGGCTCTAATGAGAGCAATAATAGATTATGGCAGCATTATATATGGAGCAGCAGCTAAAACATCATTACAAAAAATAGAAAGATTACAGTGTAGGGCTTTACGAATATGTACAGGAGCAATAAAAACAACACCTATTAATGCTCTATTAATTGAAAGTGGGGAAACTCCACTTGAAATGAGGAGAATTAAATTAGCTTTAGCATATTGGATGAAAATTAAAAGTAATATAGATAATCATGTGAATTCAACTATTCTGCAAAATTGTTGGGAATATGTGAAGTTCCAAAGTAATGGATTTGGATGGATGGTTAGGAAATGGATTAAAAAGTATAGACTAGAAGACAAGGAAATAGCTCAATTTAACCCAATTAGCGTTATTCCTCCATGGCTAATACCTGAGGTTAATGTAGATTTGCAAATCAATACAATGAAAAATGATTGGAATATAAATGAAATAGGGATAAAAACTGATATTTATTTAAGAACTACATATAATAATTACCTTAAAATTTATACAGATGGTTCTAAAAATCTAAAAGGTTATGTGGGTATAGGAATATATATCCCAGAGTTTAAAAAATGTATTCACAAAAGAATATCAGATCAATTGTCGGTATTTACAGCAGAAATGGTGGCAGTTATATTAGGCTTGCAATGGGTGGAGGAGATTCGACCAATCAGGGTGGTGGTGTGCACAGACTCTAAAGCAGTAGTGGAAAGTATTAAGGGAGAAGGAAATAATAGAAAAGATTTGGTATTAGAAATTCATCATATTTTATTTAGACTATATAGGGGTGGCATTGATGTTTGGTTTTGTTGGGTGCCGGCACATGAAGGAGTAAAAGGCAATGAAAAGGCAGATAAATTAGCTAAAAGGGCTTTAGAGGGGGAAATAACGATTTCAATTCCTTTTGGAAAAGGGGAAGGGAAATCACTTATTAAAAGTAAAGAAATGGAGGAATGGCAAAAAATATGGAACGAAGATAGGAAAGGAAGAAGATTATATGAAGTGCAAAAGTCAGTTCGAATTCGAAACATTAATGAAAGAAACAGAAGAGAAGAAATAATAGTTAGTAGATTAAGAATAGGTCATACCTACTTAAATGACATGCTTTACTTAATAGGGAGGAAAAATAGTGAGAAATGTGAGAAATGTGGTGAAAAAGAAAATGTAGAACACATACTGATGAACTGTAAGTTATATGAACACGAAAGGGAAAAATTAAAGAGAATAGTTAGAAGTATAGGGCATTAATGGAACCTTAAAGGAATATTAGGAAATGAAGGAAACATAACAGATATTCATAAACTAAGGAAAGCATTGTTTTTGTATCTTAAGAATACAAAATTAAAAAATAGAATCTAATAGATGTGAAGTAACGCTGCTACACACTCATGTACAGTAGGTGGCGGTATGCACCTTAAAGTTGCTTGTGATCCGCCATAATAGAAGAGAAGAAGAAGAAGAAGAAGGGCAACAAATAAAAACCTAAGAACTCAAATATAACCAGAAAAAAAAAAGGAATTAAACCAATAAAACATGGAGCAAAGTTAAACTGAATACTCAAAAGAAAACCTAACAGAACCAAGACTGTGACAATACGGATCACCATCTGGATCCAGGAATTCTTTTTAAGGATTCTGTGCATACAGGTATTAAAGTAAGGTGAAAGTGCCAATACATCTGAGTGCTTTTCTGGTTATACCTACATTAAAGATGTTAGTTTATTTCTTTATAATTTATTTTAAAAATCCATTAAGAGTCACCCTGGAAAGTCCAAAAGGCCGCTAGGCCGCTATAGAGATGCAGGTTACAGATCCCTGTTCTACATGGACAGAGCTGCGGAGTGCACTACTTATGATTTAGTCCTGTCAACAAACTGCATTGATTAAGCGGATATCTGCAGCTCCTCCGGAGTTACCATAAACCTCTGGGGTGCTTCTCTCATCAATAATCTCCTTGCCTGAAGTGTCAGTTTAGGTGCATGGCCATGTCTTTCTACTGTAGGTTTGCAACAGTGGCTTAAAACTTCACATATCTGTCCGTGACCTGTTTTTACCGCGTCCCTCTGTCGTCATGATGTTCTTTGCTCGCTGATGTTCTCAAAACAAAAATCTGAGGCTAGAAACAGAACTACTGGAATTATATTTAGACGTAAAAAAGAACCACAACCAAAGTTTCATACCTGATTAGTCGTTTTTAGCTATATTAACTGAAGCTTTGTGCTAAATTTAAAACTTTCTATTTTGATCCAAAGAATATGACTTTTATCTTGATTTCGCTAAAGAATGTTTGTCCCATCCATGCATTAATATCGATGCATTGGAATGGTTTCATAGTTAGCTGATGATATGATAACATACAGCTATGTGTCATCTGCATAGTTATTGTACCTTATATTGTTGTTTATTAAGATCTACATTAGAGGGAGCATGTAGCGATTGTGCCCTAAACAATACATTTCAAAAACAGGGCACACAATTTCTAATATTTTTAGTAAAGGGTATACAATGTACACCCGTAAAGCATTGCTAGCTAAGAGCCTGATCAGCAGGGTTGAATTCTACACTAAGGTTCAATACTATGAGAACAATGGTTCTAAACACCTTGAAAAGGGCAGTCTCTGTATGGTAGACGTCAAAGCAGCTGCTCATTGTTAGGAAGGTGTTTAGCTGTTGGAAACTCAGCCTTTTTTTTTATATAATCTTCCTGATAAAGGGGATATTTGAGATCGGCCTGTAGTTGTGCAGTATTCACTTGTCTGAGTTGCTGTTTTTCCACTGGGTTGAAAATTGCTCTTTCTAGGGTCTGGGAGAAAACGCCTGACAAAAAGGCTGCATTTATTATTTTGGTTAAATTAGGAGTTATGAAAGGCAGAGCTTTATTATGGAGATCATGGGTTAACCATCACGACAGCAGCGAGAAGATTAATTAATTGCTTAATTATTAGTCAGTCGGTGTACAATTTTGGTTGTTGTACAAAAAAATATTATATAAAATATCATGCTATGTTCTGCTTTAGATAAACTACTTTATGATGATCAGTCACGTTACACCCCCCTGAATACATACAGCACATGTAGTTATGCAGCTGTAATGAGGTTCTTTGTCTTTTTTGTCTTGATATTAACCCCAAAATATTTTTGTTTTCCTCTATAGTATTCCTTTGGTTTTGTTGCAGGCCTAAAGAAAACCCTGGATATTTAGAAACTTGCTCATCTGTTGTCCATGTACTTTGATTTTGTATTTTATTCCACAATTCTCATTGCAGAGACACTTCTTCAAATAAAACCATTCATTTGCTCAGAGGCAGTAAGTTCAAAGATAAGTCCCGTATCTCTAAAAAAAAAAACAAAAAAAAAACAATTGAGCTAAAATTCGTTTAACATTTTATGATAGCAACCTGTTTCAAAAGAATTTCCACAAAAAACAAAAAAAGTACACAGCTGTATGTATAAAATCACAATTTCTAATGAGAAAAAGCAGCAATTATCTGGATCCTATAATAATTTCATAAAACAGTATTAGGGAATTAGATTGATCAATTTAAATCCCTTTCTATAAAGTTCTATAAAGAAGTTTATCCTTCTAGATCTACTACCTCTACTCCAGGAGCTGGAGAAAGGAGCATTTATAATTCAGCTGAAAATATGCAGGTTTCAGATAATCAAATCTTTCAGTGAAGGCCCTTTATTATCTGCCAAGCAAAAATAAATGTATTTTCACAACGACAATGAAACAAATACTTGTTTGTCCTGGTCTGACCAAAAATATTTTTGGAGAAGATTCAACTTTGCACATTTCTTTTAATTATTCTCCCCTGACGAATTAAACCATATGTGATTTAGCTTTCCCTTGTGCACCATTTTTCTGGTTAAAACTTGAAGAATTTCATTTAATCTAAGTGCTTACAAATCAACACCGGGCAGAGCTGTCCAACTGAACAGATTGGCTGGCTGAACTTCCCTCGGTGCCCTATCTATGTAATATAACATCTCACTTGACAGTGGAGTCCATCTCACAGAGTATCTTCAGCAGCTTTAAGCTGTCAGAGTGATGAGGGAACGAAGCGTGCCAGAGATGTTGGAGCCGCCACCTGGCAGGGACCATCACAGTGTCACCTGCAGCTCATTAATGGGATTTCATCTGCAAACTGCGCCTAATTCGCCTGCCAGCCTTTCCTTCACTTACTCACTAACACAATCTTTAAAGGGAAATACATTTAAAGTAAGATGCTTTGTTAAAAAAATTAAGACTGATAAAGTTAAATGCTCAACCCTTTTATTTGGGCTTAATGGCAAAAACAATAAGATCCAAGAGTTATAGACAGCTGCTGAATGACTGATGCGCGTTTCTCAAAGCCAAAGCAGCAGCATTAAGCTACGTTCTATTTTAATTGAGTACTTTAAACATTAGAAGTAAGTGCTTCCTACATCTAATAACTGATTGGACCATTTAAGTGGCATTTTTGTTTTTAGAACTGTGAAGCACTTTTTCAGAATAGTTTGAATTGGAGGTTTTTCCATTATGAACCATCTGTTCAATGTATTCTAAAGCATATCAGTCCAGTTTAAGCTGAATTCCAAAACTCATATAGCTCACGGTATGTTGAACTCATTAGAGTTTTTGTTACTCTGCATAACTCAGATAAATGTCTGACATATTGATGGTCCATTATCTCCTGGACTTACTGGTACAGGGCGACAGTGGCATCAGATGTAGGAGTTTGCCCTGCAATTGAAGGATTGACGGTTTATCGCCCCATGAGTTGGGGCAATAGATTTTACTTTTTACTACCTGTGATGCTAACATTTTACTTTTTACTAGCAAAAAAGGCCAGAGATGAGTAGTTACTAGTTACATTTTCTTGAGCTTGTCCCGAGTGGGGTCGCGAGGGGTGCTGGTGCCTATCTCCAGCAGTCAATGGGCGAGAGGCGGGGTACACCCTGGACAGGTCGCCAGTCCATCGCAGGGCAACACAGAGACAAACAACCATTCACACACACACTCACACCTAAGGAGAATTTACAGAAACCAATTAACCTAACAGACATGTTTTTGGACTGTGGGAGGAAGCCAGAGTACCCGGAGAGAACCCACGCATGCTCAGGGAGAACATGCAAACTCCATCCAGAAAGACACCGGGCCGGGAATCGAACCCAGAACATTCTTGCTGCAAGGCAGCAGTGCTACCCACTGCAGCCCTTTCTTGAGCCCCATCACAACTTAACGATTTAGATCAGCGTATGCCTGACCTACGAAAAATCTGCCAAAAACGCTGGCATACGTTGGATAAGTTACGAGTACATTTTGTATAAGTTATGTGCACGCTGAACTATGCTGAAACACGCTGGCACCATCTTGATAGGTGTCAACGTATGCTATACATGGGGCATAAGTTACTGGTTATAAGTTACTGGTTATTTGATCGCTGACCTATGTCAACCTATGTTGACCTGTGGTGTCTAGCTTATCCAAAACCTATGAGTAACTTGTGCATAACTTAAGCGTAACTTATCAAGAACTTATGTCCAACGCATATCAACGTATCTGACGTGTTCCAGACGACCACTGACATGTTTCCATCTAGCTATTGTATAATGGTGTATTGGCAGCCTTTTTGTATAAAAAGGGGGTTCACAGGAGGAAACTGTCAGTTCTGTCCAGACTTTATCCCTATCATAGGGTGAGCGTGTAGGTGAGTGTGATGGATTCTCCCTGCGTTAATGCTCACAGCCACTACCAACAAATCTGTTGCAACTGAAAACCCTCTTTCTTCTTTCTTTTTAGTTATTTATCCTTTTTTCTTTTCTTTTTTTTTGGCGGGCAGTAAACAGCCGTTAGGTTAATACCGCGATCAAATAAATCTTTTTATGCAGGGCAGGCACCTCCAGGTGCATCGCTGCCCCTCTCAGGACGCTGGCTTGTGAGATTTAATCGGCACCACACAGCCGTCCGTTAGTTAGGCTGTTGTTGGACATAAGTTCTAGACTCATTTTGAATACTCTATGTGTACGCTCAAAATTTAAAAAATAAATAGAAAGTTCAGACTATGCCAGAGTTTTAGGAGAATCTTTGACGTCAGGTATACGCTGGCTTAATCATCTTTATTTATGAGAGTAACGTTTTAACAAAGAGTTACGTTTAGTTGTAGTTTTACTGCACGATACTTTTTCATCTTACTTGAGTAAAAAAATATTGCTACTCTTAAGTAAAATATTTGGCTACTCTATTTGCAGTGACTTTGCTGAATAATATTTGCCACACATTTAATGTTGATGTCATAACAAGCATTACTTTTTGAACACAGTTGTAATTTATATCTAGTGAACCTACTGCAACATTTGGAGGTCGAGCTAATGTACAGTAGGAAGTAAATATTGTAAAAATTGTCACTGGGGGTACTGGTTTCATAAGTTTTATGCTTAAAATAAAAATGCTTTGGCAAAGTAATTCTTCTGCTTTCTTCTTTTTTGTTGTTTTTATTATTTTTTTATATTCTTTTAAAAACCAGAATTTGTTCATAAGTTTACATTTTGTTCTGTCTGTATTACATAATTCAAAATAATAAATTAAATGTTATGATCGTAGATGCATCTATCCAGTTTTTTTCTGGTCTGATACCTGGGCTGAGCATATCGGCTGATATCTGATAGCAATCTGATTTGAATGCTGGATGAATGAACCATATATCTTGTCATATGAGTAAAGGTTTTAGCTTTAAGATAAATATTGTTAAAGAGGTGAAAGATAACACAGATATAAATGTACTATATGTTATTTATTAACAAATGAGCAAAAAGAAAGAAATACCAGTTCTATGTAAAGTGCTCTGGATTGGATCATCGATATCCGATATCCAATATGTCAATCAAATAAGTCAATATCTGAGCTGATATCCAATGCTGTTATGGGATTTGTGAAACTCTCATTATGATGAGTTTCTCAGCACTTAAGTAGTATTTTTAGTAACTGCTCCTTACTTTTACTTGAGTAAAAATATGGTGTAGTGTTTTTTTTGGGGGAAATCCACCCACTTTTGCATAAGACTCTGGCAGCTCTCCGCATACAAGACTTTTGGTTCATGTGTGGCTTCCTTAGTGCAAAACATTTTTATGCGGTTATCAAAGCCAGATATTAATATCATTAAATCCCTGCCACCCTGTCTTCCTTCTTTGTTTGGAAGCCAGTCTAAGAAAACACCTAAATCCTGGGTGTTTTCCTTAAAACCTGAGATAACACCTTGTATTTAGACATATGCAATAATTTAAATTGCCAATTTAGACCTCGGCTTTAAAGGAGTACCCTGTTTAAGTCGTTTCTCATCTTTTTATTTCCATAAACGTTCATATTTTGTTTGGTTTGTTTGTCTGGTTAAGTGTGTCTGATTTTTAGTATTTCTTTAATCTTAATTGTATATTTTGGGTATTATTTCTGAAAATTAATCCCCAGGTAGTGTCTGTGTTTGACCTGTTACTGCTACAAGTGTCACTAGTTGCTAACAGGTACCCCACAGAAAAATGAAAAATAAATCGTGCTTTACCTTGTTCTCAGCTGTGTCACATTTTGGGTTATTGTACGTACATTATATGTGTAATTACAGACAAATCTGGTGGAGAAACATGTTGAGCGTATCCTCAACCTGGAGTCTGCGCTGAGGCAGAGGGACGAGTCCATGCAGAAGCTCAACATGCAGCTACACAGCAAAGACATGCAGTATCTGCAGCTTCACGCTGGCCCTGACAAACACAGTAAGCTACATTTCATTCTGACAAGCAATTAATGGACAGTTTTACTGGACCAATTGTGGATATGAGTGCGTCTCAGAAGGATTGTAAGCAAATAGAGCAATTGTTTCAAAGACACATAGAGGCCACAAGAAAATAACCCGTCTCTTCACGTTTTCCGTAACTTTTTAAATACGCAGTGTTGCATTTTTTCTTACTGGCTGCTCAGCTCTATAGGGAAACGATGTTTTTGCCACAGTGTGAACTGCTCTTTACATGATTTATGACTGGGATACAGTGTGTAGATTTGGACAAATTTGTTCTATTTATCTGACTCAGCATTCTATCTTCTCCTCTTTCATACACATTCTGTTTTTTATTAAGTGAGGTTTTTGTTTAGTTGCTCTTGTCTTTTTGGTCACTTCATAAACAATCTGGGTTTCTAATTAGCACAGTTGTCTTCTGTTGGACTGTATGATTCCAGATAGTCCATCATCCTTTATATATATATATATATATATATATATATATATATATATATATACACTATATTGCCAAAAGTATTTGCTCACCCATCCAAATTATTGGAATCAGGTGTTCCAATCACTTCCATGGCCACAGGTGTATAAATTCAAGCACCTAGGCATGCAGACTGTTTTTACAAACATTTGTGAAAGAATGGGTCGCTCTCAGGAGCTCAGTGAATTCCAGCGTGGAACTGTGATAGGATGCCACCTGTGCAACAAATCCAGTCGTGAAATTTCCTCGCTCCTAAATATTCCACAGTCAACTGTCAGCTGTATTATAAGAAAATGGAAGTGTTTGGGAACGACAGCAACTCAGCCACGAAGTGGTAGGCCACGTAAACTGACGGAGCGGGGTCAGCGGATGCTGAAGCGCATAGTGCGAAGAGGTCGCCAACTTTCTGCAGAGTCAATCACTACAGACCTCCAAACTTCATGTGGCCTTCAGATTAGCTCAAGAACAGTGCGCAGAGAGCTTCATGGAATGGGTTTCCATGGTCGAGCAGCTGCATCCAAGCCATACATCACAAAGTGCAATGCAAAGCGTCGGATGCGGTGGTGTAAAGCACGCCGCCACTGGACTCTAGAGCAGTGGAGACGCGTTCTCTGGAGTGACGAATCGCGCTTCTCCATCTGGCAATCTGATGGACGGGTCTGGGTTTGGCGGTTGCCAGGAGAACGGTACTTGTGTGACTGCATTGTGCCAAGTGTAAAGTTTGGTGGAGGGGGGATTATGGTGTGGGGTTGTTTTTCAGGAGCTGGGCTTGGCCCCTTAGTTCCAGTGAAAGGAACTCTGAATGCTTCAGCATACCAAGACATTTTGGACAATTCCATGCTCCCAACTTTGTGGGAACAGTTTGGAGCTGGCCCCTTCCTCTTCCAACATGACTGTGCACCAGTGCACAAAGCAAGGTCCATAAAGACATGGATGACAGAGTGTGGTGTGGATGAACTTGACTGGCCTGCACAGAGTCCTGACCTCAACCCGATAGAACACCTTTGGGATGAATTAGAGCGGAGACTGAGAGCCAGGCCTTCTCGTCCAACATCAGTGTGCGACCTCACAAATGCGCTTCTGGAAGAATGGTCAAAAATTCCCATAAACACACTCCTAAACCTTGTGGACAGCCTTCCCAGAAGAGTTGAAGCTGTTCTAGCTGCAAAGGGTGGACCGACGTCATATTGAACCCTATGGATTAGGAACGGGATGTCACTTAAGCTCATATGTGAGTCAAGGCAGGTGAGCAAATACTTTTGGCAATATAGTGTATATATATATATATATATATATATATATATATATATATATATATATATATATATATATATGAGTTTGCATGAAGTCTGAAGGTTTTTCTCACCCAATTGTTTTTTTCTTTTAAGTTTAAAAAAACATGAATGTCACGTTGTTCCTTAGGGATGGTAGCATGCTTCTATGATGGACTGTTGAACTGTACAGGGTGTATTCCACCTTTCATGCTAAGACTGTTGGAGAATGGCACCTGTGATGCTGACAAACAGATGATAGAAGACAGCTACATGTAGATGGATTTTGAGATAGGTTCATCGGGACACTGGTGAAAAATGAAAATAGAAAATAGGGTTTTTAACATTGAAATGTACAGAGTAAATTCCCTATATTAGCTTTTTGTATTACTGATATTTATTTCTGCTATTGTGGTATAAATAGTGAAGAAATATGTTAAAGTGACCATGCTTAAAAATACTCTTGGCATTTTAATATTTTTCATGATAATGGAAAACTCTGGAATAAATGCCCTTCAGTAAAGTCTCTGTAAAATGAAATACTTTTCAAGGTAGCTTAGACATCTACTTTCAGCTAATCTGTACTTTCAGACTTTAAGTTACCAAAGTTACCAGTTTCCGACCTAGTTACCAAATAACTGTTATGTAATTGTTAAAAAGTTCTTTGCAGTTAAACTTCAGTCATTTTGGCTCTAAAAACATTTGGCACAGTAGAATGTGTGCTGTAAATCTGCATTATTCAGCCCATCTGCACCACCAAATGATCTCCATTGTGGGTAGCCTGCCCAACCAAATGTGTAAAAGAAAAAAAGGCAAAACAAATTTGTTTGTAACAAAAATGTAGTGCAGTGGAAACAATGCTGTTCAGTCTGCAATATAATGGAGGGACTGAACTAGATGAGGTTGTTTAACTTTAATTACTTTGCATTGTGACCTTGTCAGAGGTGTGGGTGGCTGGAACATGGAAGAAATGTGCCACACTGCCGCCTCAACAGATGCCTGTGCTCTAGTATACCCTGATGAGGAGGAGTTGTCGTTCTGCTTAGGCATCAAACTGGCAGAGAACTCATGGAAATTTGCATCAAAGCTGTTTGTCTTTCATTATTTATATGGTAAAATTTGAAGTACTGATATAATAAAAATGTTGTAGTGCTAACTTTATACTGAATGCTTGCACCTGTGACTGCACATACAAGCATTGTATGGAGGAGGCAGAGGCAAAGATAAAGGATGATGCCGCTGTGCAGTTGCTGTGTCTTCTGTAGCTCAAGGACTGTGTGAGCGAAGCTGAATCACTAACCAGCCCACACAGATCAAATCACCCAGGTACCAACTGAAGAATGCTGCCTTTGGTGGAAGTCAGTTCTTTGGCTCTTTTATAGTCATCGATTGTACAACCATGGACACGGAGGTGCATTAGTCAGGAAAAAAAAGAGAAGGCTCAGTATTTGTGTTTGATGCCACAGTTTTATTTTTTGTTTTATTCCACCAAGTGTTGGACTGTCCAGCCCTGACCCTTCAGAGCTCACGCAGCCTGGACGCCCTGTCCGACCTGAAGCTGCAGCGGCTGGAGGCGGAGCTAGAAGGGGCACGGCATGAAGCCCAGGGGGCATGTCAGCGGGAGGAGGAGAGGAAGGCAGAGGTAGAGCGACTGAAAGATGAGATCCAGCAGCTGCAGAACGACCAGAGGGAGCGGGTCAGTGTCGGTTTGTGTTCAGCCTGGTTCACAGCATCACAGCTATTTTAGCAACCTGCTCAGATGTTAAGTTTAAAGCACTTTGGAAAAGTGTTCACAATATTCAAACTTCTGCACATTTGATCTTTTATCACCCTACAGCCAATTACAAACTTAACTGTTTTGTGCAGACACAATGAACCTATAAAACTCAATAAAAAAAATCCATATATAAACACAGCACCTCTTAGAAATACAAACAATATATTGCAATTTCACTGCCTTATATAGAACAGCAACATGTGGAAAGTTTCCTATTACTTTTGTCATTTATTCACATGTCTAGTCAAGTCTTGTGTCAAAACATTTAAAGTTTTAAAATCAGATAAAATTTTATAATACTAACATTTGAAAACATGTAGAAACATGAAATATGGTTTAAAGAAATGGAATTGTCACATCCAAAAGAAACCATTTTAAAATTAGAAATATGTGGCTGCATGCACATGTTAAAGAACAGTAACATATTAGGCTAGATCATCGTTCAGCCATGGGCCTCAGCTTGACAACAAGCAATGAACTCTAGTTTGAAGCTGGAGGCAGAATTTGCGTTAAATGTTGGATTGAGTGAACCGTACTCTAGGAATAGTTGCAGCTCAGTGAATCCGTGCTCTTTCCATTTTCCTTAATGTTATGTGAGCCTCCTTATCCTATCATATATTTAGTTCTAAAGTTTTTCTAAATAAATAAATTATAGCATAAAATGTAATTAGATTCCAAAAGAAAAAAAGATCTCCCTTGTCTCTTTGTTGGTAAAATACTGAGATTACATATCTAGAATAATCCCTGAAGTTTTTCTTTGCTGTCTTGATCTGCCTGTGCTGTCAGATTTTGTCCAATATCCCACCAGCAACCTGCTAATCTAATTTCATGCTCTACTTCTGCAGGAAATGACTTCCTCGTGCAAGCAGTGCGATGTAGAGTGGATAAAGAAGGTGGGCGATGAGCAGTAAGTGACCACCAATGATCTCTCAGCAGGGGGAGATGTGGAAACGGGTTGGAAGGAAAGCGGGGCTATACGGTAGTAAATGTTAGCAAGGAGGAACCCAGGCTGAGCACCAATCACCAAAAAAGAGCAAGATTTAGAAATGTTTCAACGCGAGCTCATCGCTGCTGTCCTGCTGGGATGTGCTCCAGGGGCCTCATTAGGAAGCAAATAAGTTCTCAAATCACTGACTAACTGGGTTCAAACAGCATTAACACAAGAGTGATGGTGTTTGGCTGCTGCGGCTACGTGTGAATATATATTCTACAAGGGGATTTTTCCCGGTGTTTGGTGAAAGAGAAAAGAAAATGGCCCGAGAAAATGTGTTGGTCAGACTGGGTCCAGTTCTGAGAACTAATTGTGAAAAATACACACAATCAGAGCAGGTGAAGCACAGAGGACACTTACGCAGAAAAGATCAAACTAAAGCCAAGATGACACAGAAAACAACTACAAAGCAAACAAAAGGAAACAGAGGTTAGTCACGGTGAATAACGGTCACATAAGAAGCCTTTAAAGGGACACGACTGTTTGTGATGAGACTAATCAGGGCATCTGTTAACATTAGCATGATAATGCTAATGCTAACATTGGCATGGTAAGGATAATGTGGATTTTAATAAGCTTTGGAACAGATAGAAAACATATAGAAAAAATACGATTACGAATTTTTTACTTTTCATTACTCATTCCCTGTGCTATATATCTACATTTTAAGTCTAATCAGTCTGTCATAAACACACACCCACATATATACACCCAGTATATATATATATATATATATATATATATATATATATATATATATATATATATATATATATATATATATATAGGGTGATAATCTCCAGAAAGCATCTCCAATTTTATATATATATATTTTTTTTATTTATGTTCTCTATGACTTTTATTCTCATGATACCTATACAGAAAAATAATATGAAAATTTCAAAACAGAAAAATAAAAAAAATATATTAAATTGGAGATGCTTTCTGGAGATAATCGCCCTAAGCAGCAGGGGGCAGTATATGTACAAAGCAGGACATAACTGTCCAGTTAATGTTTAAAATTTATATCCTTAACATTTCAATAAAGCATAAAATCTTCACACTTTATTATCATTCCCTCCCTAAGCTATCAGAATAAAATCTTCTGCATGTTTTTATACTTTTAACTTTTTTTACTGGCACTGAGGGCGGTCCTTTTCCTTCATCTGCAACTAAAATTGCCCCTGCTATCTAATGTTTACAAGGTGTCAGCTATAAAAAAAAAAAGGCCCAAGAAAAAAAAGAAAAGAAAAACCACAGCGGTTGGGCAACTGACTCCCACACAATGAAACCCCAGAGGTGTTTCGATGGGGAGCAAACAGAAAGTAAATGGTACGGCAGCAGTACGAGGCTGCCTTTTTTTTTTTTCTCTCGTTTTGTTTTAAGTATGCGGTGGAAGTCTAGTACTTTTTTCCAGACCTTGGTCACCTTTTGGTTTTACTCAACAATATTGCCTACTCCTACTGAATTGCCTCTACATTTTTCCTGAAGCTTTTTCTTGTAATTGGCCCTGTTTAGTGTAAATTGGACACATTCAAAAAGTAGATTTTGTTAAGAACATTAACACTGCACTTTTGCTCTAACCCTTATAATCTTTATAAAAGTCTTCTGACTGTTAATTAGTGATGAAATTTAGAATCTTCTCAGTATGTGAATGTTTTTTAAGCAACACACATTTTATTTTATATTTAATTATTGTGTTTGAGTTAACTTCTGCATTTTTACAACCATCTTATGCCACTGTGCTTCTTGTAACTGCGCTTGCGAACCTTTTTCTGTCAATGAGAACCGTTAATGCTTGAAAAAGTTGCCATCATCGACCTCAAGCCACAACACTGTAGGCGACAACAGGCACCTGCCAATTACCCCTTGGATCAACCCCCTCTCTGCCAATGCAGAACTCTTCCTTCACGTAGAGACTGACTAATCTCTCCTCAGTTTACAGAAAGTGAGAGCAATTTCAAATAAATCACAGCCTGCTAAAGTGGAATCCCCTTTTCTTGTTGAAATTTTAGACAAAAACTGGAATTAAATCTTGTGTTCCAATTATCCACGAACTCATAACAGTGAATTAATTGATATTGCAGCGTTGTTTAAAACTCCTGTTCTAAATTTTCAAATACAGGCTTTTCTACATTTTTAAGCATTACATCGGATCCGACAGAAAAGATTGTGCAGGACTGTTGCAGGAGCCTTTCAAACATGCTAATTCTAAACAAGAGAATATCAGTCGGTTTCTATTTTTTTTACCTTGTGTATTCAACTAGAATTTGATAAGATGACATAAGAAACGTAGGAGACATGTATTGTACAACCTTGGACAACCTACAACCTGTACAACCAAAATTCATCATTAAAAAAAACATATTATAGAATAAAAAACAGAATTGAATCGAGAATAGATCGGTCAGAATTGAAAAAACAAAACATTTAGGCACGCAAATGTAATATAAACTAACACTAACTTTGCCATGCTGTAATCTAAAACAGCATTAAAGGAATAGTGAAGTTAGTCCATAAATTTTGTACTCATCAAAACAGGTTATAATGTGCTTTGCTATGATGGAAACCATAAAACCACTTGTTATTCACTGTAAAGGTGTTACAGTTACATAGTAAACATAGTTCTCTTTTGTAAGATATTTCATACATTTTAATGGATGCTGATCCTACTTTTATGTTGATTATAAAATTACATGTAGACGATTTAAAAGTTAACATGCTAATGTCCAGTTAAATATTATTTTCGATCATCATCTTGCCTTCTGTCTGCGCTCTGTGAGGTTTAGATGTTCTAAGGGTTCACCTCTGAATAATTGGGCAGCCCCTTTTTTTTAACCTTAACAGATAAGACAATCATTTAGAAAGTTAGAATAGAAAAGAAAATTAAGAAAAATAGAAATAGAAAATAGAGTAAATTGCAAAGGTTATAGTAGAACTGGTCACACAATGTGCACCTTAGAAAAGCGTATAAAAATAACATAGGAAAATAAAACAAATAGAGTATTGTACTGCAGTGATTTACAATATAATACTTCTTTTTCGTATTTACTCTGGTGATCTTAGTCTAAAAATAATATTTATTTAATTAATTTAAACATTCAAATGTGACCCAAAGTAAAAAGATAAATATCTAAAGGGACAAATATTTGTTTACAGAACTGTGGTTGCGATTCCTGAAATTCTCAAAGCCCAAATAAAACTTCTTACCACTATTTACTTTTCTTTTTCTTTATATATTGAGCGCAGCACGGTTCACAATACAGATGCAAAGAATCACCACGTAACTGTGGCTTGGTGTGAGAGAAGTTTGACACCTTTCTGTGTAACACTAAACAGTGCACAACAAAATTCTGAATAAGTTCTCTAAAGTGTGAAAAAAAAAACAAAGTCCAATTTCTGTGAGACCCCAACCTCAGAAGGTCTAAAAAAAAATCTGCTTCCTTTTCTTGTAATACCTCTCATTTTCTCTGTTAAGAAAACAAGAGGCATTATGCTCATGCTTCTCTTAGTACATGCCAACAATGAGGGAACGTCAGATCCCAGAGGAAGGTGTGGAGACTGCTCTCCCTTTAAAACATCAGATCAGAGGTCAGATTTCAGCCCACGCTCATCTCCCACTCATGTATACACACATACTGTACGCTTCTCTACCTGATCAATCCACTTGCACAACCCTTTCATCAATGCTGCATTGGCTTTATCACACCCCTCCCACGCACCGTAGTGTACACTGTACAAAACGTGCACACTCACATTCAAGAAAGAAAAGAGGAAACAAATGAACATATGCACAAGAAAGCAAATGCATGCAAGTGAATTTGTGAAGCAGTTTTCAATGCAAAGACAAACAGAAAACCTATTAAATGTCAGCCTCTTTGCTCTGGTGTAGAGCCAGGACCCAGAGGTGTTGCAAATTGGCCAGGACCTGTTTGTAAAACTGCTAAAAGACATGAGCAGATCTGAAATGTGCGATGGCATAAGTGTGAAAAGGAAGAGGTGCGTCAATTATAAACTGTCAATAAATTCACTGTACATCAGCTTGTAGATATAAAGAGTTGATGCTGGAGTAAAGAATGAGGGCCTTTTTAGTTTTGTGGACCATTTTTTAAATAACATTATGCTGCATTCTCCACCCACCATGCCAGTAAGTAACACAAATTATTATTACTCATTTTATCTCCTGCAGCGGGTTTAAAAACCACGGACAGGGATGCTCATTGAAAGCTGCACCAACTTTAACCAAAAGGAAAGAAGTATTTGGTAGAAAGGTGGGCTGATTGATGGGTTTGATACCCCCACTCTGTTTGTGAGTCACTGCAGTTAGTTGGGCCATTAGCAAGCACCATCTAACGGCTGGAAGTTATGAGCTGTTCAGTTATTTTTTTGGTTTTTCTCAGCATACCTCCCCGAAATGGACACCGTCATTTATATTTTATTTTTTTGCATTAAGGTTTAGGTCTATTGGTCGCTCATATTAATGTTGAAAGAGACATTAGAGCAATGAGTTAGCAAATCTGGTTTGAGAGTCAATTTGTATTGAAATAGACACCAGTAAAAAATTGGATTTAATAAGTAAAACCTAAAAGAGTTTTTAATACAAAATTAAATATGCAGGAGCAAATAAAACTACATTAGATAAGCGTGTGGGTATGGCTGCAGAACATATGTTAAAATTTTACAGTCAGGTTACTGTGTAGGAAGGGTGTTTCTCTGTTTTTGCAGGGAAGTTTCTATCTTTTCTTTTTATGCAGAAAAACTCCCCGAGATATGCAGAAGTTAAGTTGTTTTTTTATCTATCACAATCTTTATGGAAGAATGAGATCAGTCAATTTTTTTTAGCAAGGTCATCACATCAATTCTTTCAGCGCTTTTCTAAAAGGCCTTGTGCAAAATTAACATCCTCTTTTCAACCTTGTTTTTTTTTTTAAATCTATTTATCTCAAGGCAGATCTTTGTGCTGCCTTGGTTTATGTTTACCCTTTCAGAGATGTTTCATTACACAATGAGGCTTTCATGTAGGTGTGATGAATTTCACATGACGCTCACGATGAAGTGTATTGAAACTTGCAAATTCTCAATCTGTTGATGAAACAAATGATAGGTTTTTCTTGAAGCCCTTTCCAGTGTAAAATAAATTACCCGGTTGAGCAGCTTATCTTTGTAGATTTTATGCTAGATGTATGGTTTCGTGTCTTAACCTAATAATAAAAAGTGTTGTTATCTATCGCCGTCTGCACCTGAATGAGTCGACTTAAGATCAAGGCTGAGGAGTTTATAAAAACTGCAGCCATATCTGATCTGACAACAACAAGCTGTTATCAGAGTGAAGACGGGTTGGCATTAAGATTTATATTATTATTACTTTAACTCATTTAATAAATTTCAATTCCTCTGAAATGAGGCGTGAGGAAGTCATTTTGTTGCCATGGTTAAAACACAGAAGCCTGTTCAGCAGCCATCCTGGTTTAGAGCTCTGGAAATAGAGCCTCTCTGTCAACACAGCCCCTGAGAGTGTCAAGACACATCTTGCATGAAAATGGTGCGATTTTAAATTATGCGCTCAGACGTGCAATCTAAAAATATGAGCTTTTCAATTAGTGTGTCACTGCAGCAGGTCGTCTTCTGCTTCAGAGTAGATGAAGATTAATTTATGTTCTCGTTTGTAAGCACTTCTTGGCGTAAGGGACTGAATAATTTGCATTTTGACAAGAATTTCATTGCAATTACTGTTTAAGCAAACACACAGTTGTAACACCTTAACATTGTGCCAACACTTTAATGTTCTGCTGTAACAATGATTATGATAATTATATAATTGCCCTCCTCCTCTCTTCCTTCAGGGTGAATTTGGCTCTGGCCTACACAGAGTTAACGGAGGAACTGGGACGCCTCCAAGCGCTGTGCTCCAAGCAGACGGAGATCCTGAGAAAAGCGGCGCAGGAACCCGCCAGTCCAGGTTAGAGTTTCTGTGTTGAAACACTGCGTCCTTTTTCTGCAGGAACGTTGGAGGAGCGCTTTCTGAAAACAGTTGTGTATTCACAGTGAAACTTCAGCATGCACTTCAAAAGAAAATGCTTACCGGTTCAGAACAGGATCTCTGATTTACCACAACATGGATACATTATCTACACCGTATTGTATAATCAAGAAATATCTAGTATAGCATGTTCCCTCTACACACCTTACAATCCCCTAGATTTCTCTTACATTAAAAAAAAAAAGATAAATTATCCTAAAGGGACTATATTTATATGGATGATAGTTTTACTTGCATAACATCACGTTGATCTGTGCTGGACTATGGTATCATAACTATATAATAGCAGCTGTAAGATTACCTATCAAATCCATACTTCTCTTGTATTTTTTTTTTTACGTTAGATTAAAAAAAAAGTTGTGAGACAATTAAAAAAAAAAATGTAGAAAGTAACTATCAGCTTGGTTGGATCTAAGTGGGAGGAATATGTGTCCTTCATTTGTTTACAGTCCCTAAATGCACCATACATAAGTACGAGCTGGTTAGGTTGATAACAGCAACCTTTAGCTTACAAGATGCTTAAGCACAATAAAGAGACTCTTGGTTGTTTTTAGTATCAGAGGACACAAAAGGTGATAAAAGTTGTTAAAAAGGAAGCTCTATTTTGTATTCCAACATGCCAAGACATCCCTAAATTTTTATGCAGGTTTTCTGAGAACAGAGAGCGAGATTTTTAGCAGAAGCTCTGTCATGAAACATGCTTAATTTGTAAATGTTTCTGTCTGTGTCTCTAATAAAAGATGGACAAACTGTGGTTTAGAGTTAAAATTTAATTGGCGAGTTGCTAATATAAAACACAAAAAATTCAAATCAATCACTTTTAATCATCTTGACAGTTTTTTACAGAAATTGTTTTCTAAGACACTGATGGATTATAATAGAAGAAATAAATAAATATCTTCTGAATGATGTTCGTTTATTTTTCTTGATTTTTTTTTTGTATCAAAAAAATGTGATCAATGCAGCTCTAACAAGCATTAATTTTTATCGTCAATTATCTTTATTATATTTCATTAGAAAAAAAAAGTTATTAGAAATGCATAGATCATAAATTTATGGTTTCTAGTATAACCAGTTTACAAAAGGACCTCTTGCCAATGCAGCTGATTAGTGATTACCCACAAGGATAGTGACCGTTTTTTAATAATAAAATAACAACCAAGAGGAATTCATTTAGAGCCCTTTTCATCAAACATTTGAACTCTAACTTAAAAAACAACAAATTTAAATTTCTAAGAGGGTAAATAAGAAAATAGTAAAAAAAAAAAAAAAAATATATATATATATATATATATATATATTCTTTCATAATTGGGCTTATGCACCGTATAATAATATTAGGTTGTGCAGTCTATTTGTATCACATACATCTGTCAGAATATATGGAAGTCTCATTTGCACATTATTTTGGATTGACTCCGACTTTAGTATTTTATTTTCTTTATAAAAACAAAATTGTAGCTGGGTTGTTAGATGTGTAACAAATTCTTAAATTATTTGATCATCATTCGATTTAACTGATTTTTTCTTCACAGAAACCTGCTAGTATTTTGTTTAAGTTTAGTACTGCAACTAGCTTTAGGACAGTTTGGGCATTTATCTTATTAACCTACATGCAGGCCCTCAAAATACTTGAATGCTAATTGAATGAATGATAAAATTCTCATCATACAACATTAGCTTTTAAAACATCTTAAACACAAATTAAATTTATATAAATTTTGTTTCCTTATTTACTACATTTTTCTCAGTGCCGGTTGTGATTTGTCTGTGTTCTTTTCTCACTTAAAAAGTAAAGATAGGAAATCAGATACGCACGTTGTGGAGTAAAAGTAAATAAGTGCTAAACGGTAGCAACACCTTTCTCTGCATGCATAGAGAGACACATGTTGTCTCACAGGTTTGCATCTTCTACCAACCACAAACCGAGCACACAGAATAGAACAAAAGACTTCAGTTAGTTAATTAGGAATGTGTACGTAATAGCTTTCAGCTATTTCTAACAATCAAACATTTATTTTTGGTGATTTCTTTGTGCATCCAGGGAATTTTTTTGCAGCCGTGGAAGATTTCTTAAACGATAGAGCATGCACTGAACGTCCACAAGTTTCCTCCCAATTCAGAGAAAGCAATAAGTACAAAATCTCCTGACCTCTTCAAGCTATAGGTGCTTCTGTCTTTAGCACATATAGCCAGGCACCCAGAGAGGATGTTTCCTCTTTATTAGGGGGAAGTGAAGTGAAGTTCTAGTGGTGACTATGGAGCTGACTCACTCATCAACATATCTTGTAATTACAGGAAACACTACAACTATACTTCTGCTGATAAATCCTTTTAATGGACCCATAGAGGAACATGAAGCTCAGTTCTATTAACTGAATGTGTTTTTGCAACGTCTGATGCAAAACATTATTCTGCAGTAGTTGCCCACAATTGATGTCTGATAAGGAAAATGCATATTAACAATTGAAGGCACACCTCAAAGATAATAATAATAATAATAATAATAATACATTTTATTTAAAAAGGCGCCTTTCTGGACACTCAAGGTCACCGTACAAAACAAAAAGTGTCAGAAAAAATAAAAATTATAATTATAAAAACATTTAAAAACATTTAAAAATACAGAGGCTGTGACAGTGAAATTGAGAGTTCCAGAGGCGGGGGGCAGAGCGGCTGAATGCTCTGCTCCCCATGGTGGTGAGACGGGCGGAGGGGACAGACAGGTGCAAAGCAGATGAGGATCTAAGAGCACGGGAGGGGGTGGGAACATGCAGGAGGTCTGACAGATATGGGGGGGCAAGATGGTGAAGTGCCTTAAAAGTCATCATGATAATTTTATATTGAATGCGGAACTGTATGGGGAGCCAGTGGAGCTGTCGGAGGACCGGAGTGATGTGGTGGATAGAGGGAGTTCTTGTTATGATTCGAGCAGCTGAGTTCTGGACCAGTTGTAGTTTGTGGAGTGATTTCTGAGGAAGTCCAAAGAGGAGGGAGTTGCAGTAATCTAGTCGGGAGGTGACAAGGCTGTGCACAAGTATGGCAGTAGTGTGTGGGGTAAGGGAGGGACGGAGGCGGTTGATGTTTCTTAAGTGGAAGTAGGCAGACCGGGTAATGTTATTTATATGGGATTGGAAAGATAGTGTGCTATCGAGGATGACACCCAGACTCTTAACCTGGGGGGAGGGGGAGATGGAGGAGCTATCAATATTGACTTGGAATATAAGAGCAGCAAAAAATTAGCAGTTTATTTTTCACAGACATTTTTAGAATATATTCCTTTCAGTTTATCTAAGTAATGCATCTATGTGGGAGAAAAAACAGTGAAATGTTAATTCAACAGCTTAGACTGTGAAACAGACGTTTGCAGTTTTTCTAAGCCAACAAAACAAAGGCTCTGTTAAATGTTCATTAGCCTGGCAGGCAAGCTTTTAACTTAGATATTTGAATTTATATATTAGAATTTTCACTCAAACATAAAGAATTATAAACATGATGGATGAACAAGTTTTGTGATTTGAGTTCCACTTTATATATTGAAATACCTCGGAATCGATATTTGTATTAATATTAGCATCTAGACTCTATCACGTTTGTCAGGTGTGCCCAGTGTGAACCTGTTATCATCTGTGAAGAGCACAGTACACCAGTGGTGTATTTACCAATCCTGGTGCCAAGCATTCTGCACGATGTTGGGCTTAGAGCACATTCCCCATCTGTGGACATTAGCCCTGATCATACCATTCTCATGGAGATGGTTTCTAACTGTTAATGCAGACACACGCACATTTGTGGCCTGCTGGAGGTCGTTTTAAAGTCCATCTCATGCTACCACAATTTTGAAAGCACCACCAACATTCAAAAGTGACCAAAACATCAACCAGAAAGCATAGATACTGAGAAGTGGTCTGTGGTCCCCGCCTGCAGAACCACTCCTTTATCGAGTGTTTCTTGCAACACATTTGTTGTGCAAATAGAATGTTGCATGTAAAATTGATTATGAATCAGTGTTGCTTCGGTGGTGAATCCTAATATATATATATATATATATATATATATATATATATATATATATATATATATATATATATTGCACAGCAAGAAACAGATTGATTTGTACAATTTATGTGTACTTAAGCTAGTTGCACATGTTTTTTGGAAAACAACCCACATCCTGACTTGGTGATGTTTTCAAGCTTTTCAGTATTGAGAACGTCTCCTCTCCACGGCCCTTTTTAGATGACTTCACTAATGTTTTGCTTTAGTTAGGGTTTCAGCTGGTCTGTTTGGAAACGGGATCTTCTAGTTAGACTTGGGACACCTACATTGACACAGAATCATAAGATATAATATATATCAAATAGAATCTTGGGTTCAAAACTGACTAGTACCTTGAAGGTTCACAATTTCATTCAGCTTATAATGATAGTTCCCACTGAGATTGATTTGGTGCTTTGTAACTTCTTAGTAAAATAAGAGCAAAAAGATAGATGACGTAATCCTCACTATGAAAGCTGACTATCTAAGTTGCATTAGAATCACTATGACAGATAAAAGGGTTTGTCCCCCAGATGACTGAAACATATAAATTGAAAATTCTTCACCATAAAATGTTTTTAAAATATGACCGACTTCAATGCATGCTTTGTTAAATAGTCCAAATTTTTATACATTTTAGAGGATAAATGGTTCTGTGAGAATTTATCATGTATAACCTCATATTTTATTTTATTTAATGAATAAATTGCAGTGAATGGGCTTTACTTTGTCTGTCTGTTTAAGAGAAACTTGGAAAACCGAATAAAAAAATTCATAAAATAAAGGGAGAGGCCATATTTTCAACACGTCTACATACAGTGCAGTATTTATTTTGTTGTGATTTTGCCATGAATCACATATACAGTATCTTAGTTTTGTTTGAGGTTTCTAAATGTTGATTTTCCCTCCCTTCCACAGTGCAGCTTCACTCTCCCATCCACCACCAGCGTCACTCTCCGGTGTCCCAGCGCCACTCGCCCATCTCTCAGCGCCATTCACCAGTGCCGCCACATCACTCCCCGATCCAGCAGCGGCGTTCTCCGGTGTTGCAGCGTCTTTCTCCTGACATGCATCGCCGCTCCCCACTCCTGGACGTCAGCGATGGACCTGCCTCTTATTCCTACCGACCGCCCACCCAGCACCTGAGAGCCAGTTTCCAGGGTCGCCGTAGTTACTCAGAGGTAGCCGACCCCTCAGCTTACCAATGCCCACCTCGTTTCTCCTTAGACCCAGTTTCTACCCTGCCAAAGCCACGGCCCTATGTGGAGGGCTACCAAAAGCAGCAGTCCCAACACATCAGCTCCTCTCACAGCGGACTGCAGCACCGAGGATCCCCGTCCCCCCTTCAAGCGGGTGGAGACAGCAGCATGGGTGAGAGCTCCATGCGCCACTCTAGAGAGATGCCTTTCCCTCTGTCAGAGGTGGCTCACCTTCATTTTGAGCCCCCTCCTCCTTCCACGCCTGCCCCCCAACCACCACAGTCTTCTGAGGATGAGGAGGAGTGGACCTGCCCACATCCCATCAGCCCCCCGAGGACTCTGGGTGTTCTCTCTCCTGGTCTACCCAGCAGCGTCTTGAGGGGCCCGGCGTCCTGCATAGCCTTTCCCATCCCTCAGAGGCCCAATAACCTCAGCTGCCATCCGCAGCAGGGATACACAACATCAGAGCACGCCCAGTCCTGGCCTTCCATCAATGTGAGTTATTAAAAAGTCAACAAACATACTCAAAGTACTTAGAAAATACATAGAAAATTTGAGTAAAATACATCAATTCATTTCAGGAGATTTACAAAGAGGAGAAAAATATACATACTACTGACATCAAATCCTGTCCTTAACACATGCTTGAACTTCTGGGATTAAAATGAGAGAGTAAAACTTGCATACATTTTAATTTAGAATCAGTCTAGTCAACTCGACGTGAAGTTTTATAGAAGATGTTTTGCCTCTCATCCAAGAGAGACAAAACCTCACATTCAGACCTGTACATTGGAGAGACTAAGCAACCGCTTAGGCGCATGGCTCAACACAGGAGGGCCAACTCCTCAGGGCAGGACTCAGCTGTTCACCTACACCTGAAAGTTAAAGGACACTCGTTTGAGGACAACAATATCCATGTTCTTGCAAATTAAGAAAGATGGTTTCAGCGAGGGCTTAAGAAAACCATCTTTGTTACCGTAACATGAAAAAACCATCTCTCAGCAGAGGAAGTGGTCTTAGACATAAGCTTTTACCCAACTACAAAGCTCTTTTAGGAACAATACCCAGAAGATTCACCTCTCACCCAGCCTCACTTGACTCACACTTCAATGAGGCATGTGACCGAAACCACTCTGTCGAGGGTGTTAATGACACATCAGAACCCCCTAACGACCATTAAAACCCCCCATTTGTCCTCCTTGGCCAATCCAGTGGAAGGGACCAATACCTTAATTTTTCCTCCCTGATTTCTTTGTTAGACCTACGGTATATTAGTCTCAGTGCTCCCAATCACTAGTTAGAAATGAATAGATTTCTTTAAATCTGAGATGGCGAGACGTCTTTAGAAAGCTACACCTAGATCAAACTTTTTCAAGCTTGACTGAGTATCTTCACAGATAGGCTAATTTAGGATTTAAATGTTCATAGGCTGCTATTACTTAGGAAAGAATAGACTTTTATTTTGAAGGCAGAACATTTTTCCTTATTTCATTGGTGAAATACGTAAGCAGTCTCACACACACCATAAGCAATGTAAGCATATTACCTCATGCTGAAAAAGGATTTTTATCCAGCATATAATACTACTTTTAACTTGACTTTGACCCACTTATGTTCAGTGGTGCAAAAAAAGAGAAACCGTATAAAGATGAGTGGTCTGTAATTTTTATCATAGATTCACCTCAAATATGAGAGAAAAAATGAGAGAAAAAAATCTAATCTTGGTCATTTATGGTAGAAAATAAGTATTTCTTCAATAAAAAAAAAGTTCAACTTAATACTTGGCAGATGCCAAATGTTTCCTGTCAGTCTTCAACAGGTTTTCTCACATAGTAGATGGTATTTTGGCTCATTACTCCATCAGATCTCCTCTAGAGCAGGGATTTTTCGGGGCTGTTGCCGGGCAACGTGGACTTTCTACTCCCTCCATAAATTTTCTATGGGGTTGAGGTCTTGATACTGGCTAGACCACTCCAGGACCATGAAATGCTTTTTTAATGGAACCACAGCTTCATGCTCTAAGCCATCTGTTTGGAATCATTGTCATGCTTGAAGACACAGAAATGTTTCATTTTTAATGCTCTCATTGATAGAAGGAGGTTTTGGCTTAAAATATCATGCTTCATGGCCCAACAGTCCCAAAGCATGATGTTTCCACCCCCATGCTTTACAGTAGGTATGGCATTCTTGGAATGCAACTCAGAATTTTTCTTTCTCAAACATGATGTGTTGAGTTAGTACCTATCTTTGGCATTACATGATGTTGTCCCTATCCTCTTCTGGATCATCCATATGTTCTCATAGAACTTCAAACGGACCTGGACAGGTTCTGGCTTCAGTGGAGGAGACACAATTTGACTTCCTCTGGGTGTATTGCGTTATTGATGGTAGCCTTTGTTACTTTGGTCCCAGGCAGCTCTCTGCAGGTCATTCATCAGGTCCCTTCATTTAGTTCTGGAATTTTAAATCACTGTTTTCATGAATTTAGAATTGAATAACTGAAATTAATTTATAAGACTAAATATTAGGGCTACAGTACACGTAATTTTAACAGTTCATCAATTAAACACATTTGCTCATCATTGGACCACATGTTATTTCTTCTATACTACAGTGTCACCACTACTCTGTGCTTTGACTTTTAGCATCTGGGCCAGAGAATAGACTGATATAAAACAGTGATGGTTCTCCTTACACTGTCCCTGCAGCCACTAAATGGACTAATCCTACAGTCTAGAACTTATAAAATACAGTGCAGTCCCTCTATTCTTAGCAGTCAGTAGGAAACACATACTTAACATTTAGGGCAAATATTTAGGGCAAAAATGACAATACGTTTTTGTTTAGTATCTAGTCTTGTATCCCTCTGTTTTAGGCTCCCTTCTAAAACCACTCATTTTCCATATTGATAACATAATTTAAGGGTGAAACATATTGTTGGTACAAAAATTGTATGCAATGCATTTAAAACCTAATGTCCATCTACATCCCAGATCCAAAAAGTAGTTTGTATTTCTAATATTGGACACTCTGGTATTGTGATGATGGGTCCGATTCAATTAATGTTAAGTTCTATGACACACATTTTTTTTTTTTATATTTGACAACAGGTTTTCTAAAAGATTATTACCGCCATAAACAAGCAAGTAAATGTTTATTAACTTGGCACATTTCACTATTCAGATATTCAGATGTACTGCCTACTGTTGCTGGATCTTATATAACTTGAATAACTTAAGATAATCTGATATAACTTGGAAAGGTTTCGTTCAGCACAATGTCGGCCGTCAACAGCAACCGTTCTTTAAGAGGTGCTTAAAAAGGGATGGAATAGGAGATGAAATGAAATCAGTAGAATTAAGCAAAGTTAAAAAATGCACGAAAGGCAACATCTTGGGTCCATAAGTTTCCGTGACAACCATTAGACGCTAATTAAATCCAGATCTCTGGAAGATATGCCTGGATAAAGGTTTTCTGTTGTAATATCACAAACCATAATAAGTGTAGTTTTTTTTTTTACTTTGCCAAGTGCTTAGGTTCTGTAGACTAAGATTGAAATTAATTGAATTGCACCCATTCAAAGTGGTTCTGTCAAGAAACAAAACCTAAATATGTGTAAAAGCTTTTCATGCAAACTGTAGGGCAGATGAACTGTGATGATGTGGGCCTGTTTCTACTCTAAAAGCCATGAGACCATTTTGAGAATACATGACGGCCTTTTGTGCTTACATTAGGATAATGATTTGAAACATACAATCAGATCAACACAGATCATACCTCAATCCTATAGACAATGAGTATATGAAGAGATCAAAAGAACGGATCCGGGAGACTTTGCAAAGAGTCAAATAATGCATCTCTATGCTCCGACCTTTTGATATCCAACTTTCCTGTTGGCAGAAGGTTTTATATTAACAGAAAATTTACTAGTAAGTTGTCTAAAGTAAATTTACTAGTAAGTATTGGACATGAGATTTTGATGAAAGCAATTATTTTGTTGATAGGTTTGTTTCTGCTATTCAATAAAGTGAGAGTCTTTACCTCTCTTATATCTTGCAAGGGAGGAGGTAATAAGTGTGGTTAGGGCTCTAGCTTGGTGAAAAAGTGCAACCACGTTTGAGCTGTTCTGAAAGCACTGAATTACATTACTTAAGACGGTTTTCAAACAGCCGTGTGGTATTTCATCATGTCTACAGTTTACCCTAAACACTCCGATCTTGGTTTACCCAAAAAAAGGCAGTTTTTAACCCTACAATAGGGTCTATTAAGAACAGAGTTTTCACACTAGATTTCACAATTTTCCGAAAGTCTGCCTTTTAGTTCCCTTTAAAGGGGAACAGTCTTATTTAATTCTCTGTGTGAAAAGAGAAGTTTGATATAAATCATATGAGTCTGCATGATGTACAAAGATGGAGTCAAGATGTGAAGCCTTAATTAGCATAAAAACTAGGAAACGTTTCTTCTGTTTCAGACCAGGGTGACTGCAGACACTCTAAAATGCAAACAATGTTGATCCATACTTTAATAAATGAAGGAAATAAAAAGATATGTTATGAGAAATAACATAAAAATGAGGATGATCCATAGTTACTTACTAGAATCATTCATGTTGATTAACAAATTTTTGTCTGAGAAGTTAATCATATTTTCCATTAAATTATTTCCATCACACATTTATAGAAATTAGATTTCTTTGTATTTTTTATGCTTGATTAATTTATCATGTTTTAAAAAACAAGACTGTTATAAAGATTCTACAATCTACTGCATCAGCTAGGAGACAAGGTTGCATGAGTGGAAAAGGAGAATTTAGTATTTGCAATGCTAATTGAATGAAGAATATATGCTTAAATAAATGGGTTCTATGCACCCTAATTCAGAGTTTTTATGGTGATTCAGAAGGGGTACATTTTGGGAAATGGGAAAAAAAAGATTGAACATTTTGGTATCATGTCAGTTTCAGAAACACTGTAAAACAGCCTTAGCAGGAGTGGACACAAATGCAGGGACATAAGGAGGCAGAGATGAGTCTAATTTAATGCAGATCCAAGGTATCAGAAGCAAAAGTCCCAAAATAACAAAATACAGAAAACTGGTGATGTTATGAGATGAGCTGAGGCTTCGAGGCGTGTGTCGAAAATTACAGGTGGCGTTTCCACCATATTGAGGCTTGTTTCCGCATATCGAGGCTTCCTTCATTTGGGGGAGGAGCCAAAATAGATGACATACAAAGCCTTGGGTGGGTGGTTCAGCTCGCCTCGAACTTTGGCAGTTTGTAGGATAGTTGGATAGAGATTGGATATATTCTAAGAATAGATTGGTTGAAAAAAAAAAGCCAATCTGGTTGGTTAAAACTAGTTTGGTTAGATTAAACAATGCTAACAGCTCTAAAACATTTACTTCCATTCTTGAGGTTGTTGGCTCAAAACCCAAGTTGGACTTGGGCTAACACACAAGTATATTGGCTAATGTGACTAATTTGTATTGGTTTGCCC